CTTTTATTTTAAGTGATTTTTCGTAAAATCCAAGTGCTTTCGAGTGATCACCCATGTGCTTATACACTGAGCCGATGTTGCTGAATGAAGTAGCCAAATCAGGATGATTCGGAGGCAGAGCTTTTTGTGTGATTTCGAGACCTTTTTCGTGAGATTCAAGTGCTTTCGAGTAGTCACCCATGTCATCATACACTTGAACGATGTCGTTGTATATAGCAACAAATGAAACGTGATCCTCTGGTAGAGTTTTGCGGTGTATTTCGAGGGACTTTTCATAAAAAGTAATCGCTTGCTCATATTGACCCTGCCGACTTTTCACTCTACCTAATTGGTAACAGATATGTCCTTTGTCACCGTCGTCAGTAGCCTGTTTTAGTAGTGCCATGTAAAATTCTTCAGCCTTGTCAAATTGTCCTATCTTGTGTAGCAAGTCACCCAGTCGGAACCATCTTTTGCCGCGAACTTCTCCTCGTATATAATCAGTCAAATCGTGAAGCTCTTGGTCATCATCGGATGTAAGTTTAAGATCCACTTCATAAACGGAGTCTTCTGTACAAATCTTTCGGACTTCACCAATACGAAAAACTGTGTGCATAGAGAAGAGAGTTTCTTCTTCTCCGCCGAAGTAACTCTCTTCCACTATAGTAGCGAATGGAGCCGATGAAACTGTGGAATCTATGGTCATTTGAAATAGAATGCCAACCATATCATTGTTTTTGGAGGCTTGACTAGCATATTCGAGAGATAATTCGCGGTCTGTACTCGTTGATAAAAAGTTACTGAACGATATTAGACCACCGTTATTATTATTGAGCCTTTCAAAATCAACTATTAACAATCCCTGGCCTCGATATACGATAAATGACTGAGTCTTATCAAGACTGATCTGTTTCTTGTGAACGTCTTCAATTTGATGGTGAACATCACGCAAGAAGAAGCCCATCCTAATGATAACATCACCATCCAATGTTCTTAATGCTTTGTTGAGCATTTTGTATGTGAAACATTCACGTGTATACCACCATATTGCTTTTGATGATTGATAACTACTTTCAAATTCTTCAATAACTTGCATTTCTTCTTCATTGTCTTGAAACAATTTACGGCAATAATTTACTAAGTCGTGAATGACTTGTTGTCTGTGTTTCATATCGATGAGTATTTCCTTGAAAATTTGTGTGTACATGAAGCATGGTTCTAGCTGATTAAGATCATTAGTAGAACCAGCTTCATTTTTACCGATGATATTGACCGTCATCTGATCTTGATCAGATTGTTTGACGACCACTTCAAGTGCTTTGCATATGGACCCAATCGACGTATAAACACCCTTGATCTTTTCCCAGTCCTTTGTCCATACATTGTCTTGCAGTTCGTTGCCACAGAAAATGTATATGGCATTCAAATTTGATATGGCATGAATGTCTGGTACTAGCTGTTGTCCCAACGTATCGGAAGCAATCACGAATGATGTCTTTTCGTTGTTTTTTTGGAGGTTCTTAATACAAGCATCTGCCGTGGTACATATGTTAACGTTATTGACAATATTTTGGAGTTGCTGCAGACTTTTCTGGTAATCCTCGTTGGCCGTATTGAGATTGGTGTCGACCCAGATCACCAAATTGCTTTTGGCCATTCGTCGTCTTCGTTGTCTATTCATTTGGACGGTTGTATTGGTTTTTTTATGTTTATTCTTGAATGATACGTTAGTCAATTGATGTACACTGAAACTTTACTTGCTTTATTTATATATTCGATGCTGTGTGTTGTTTTTATTTTTTTCCTCCATAGTCTAATGTGGGTATTTTATTCCGCAATACTCAATAAAAATTATGCTTCGTGTCAATTAATGATACGGTTGTCAAAAAAAGTAATTAAATGTCGATAAAAAGACTGACAACATCATTTACTTTATGATTAGTCTTTCTGCAGTTTTCATTTGTCATTCATGCGCGCAATAATTTGAGTCTAACTCCATATGAAATACTTTGTCTCATACTTTGTACTTTCCTTTTCTCTCTATTAAGAGTGAAGAAAAAAAGAAGAACACCATCAGTTTGATTTTTTTGCTGATTATGTATCTGATTGTCACGTTGGTTTTATGCGTAAAGTAGGAAGACACATTATTTCAATTTTAATTGAGACAACCATTGAAAAATGATACTTTTTTTGTATTGAAAATACTGTCGACCATTAACCAGTGATTTGAACCAAAATAACTGCTCCGATTCATCAATTTTGAAAATGAATGAAACGCTTCAATGAATACTCCACTATTACTTAGTACAAAATTAGTACATATATTTGACATTTTATTAGTTATTGTTCAGTTTTTTCAGGAAAATAATTAAATAAGAGATGGATATTTATCGTAAACAAAGAGTTTATTGCATCAGTAATGATTAATTAGATTTATATTTTCTAACAGGATGTTTGTTTTCTCCGACAATCTAGCTTAGTTGTCCTTGCAGTTTATATGTCTACATAAAAATACTTTCGAAAATTTTCTTTATTTATATAACAACATGATTTATTGCTCAATACTCAATTAGTTGGTAACCCAAGCAAGAAAGAAGAATTTTTATGTACAATTTTATTATTTTATTCTGTTCTATTTTCAGACGTTTAGTCAATTATATGAACATCAATTGTAAATTTTTTCTATTGCATTTTCACACATATGCTAATAATCCTTTTTCGTTCTTTGGCATATATTCTTGTTTTCTTGTTGAGATAGACGTTTCTTCGTCTATTTTATATGTACATCGTCATTGAATACATTATACGTACATGCATAAATAGAAACACTCACGAAAAAGACAATATTCATCTAAAAAATGGAGAATCACATATATCTATTCTTTTATGAATGGAAAAAGATCAAAATGATGCAGTTACTGATAAAATAGTATCCATTCAATGAGCAAATTTAATTGTTGTGGAATACAAAATTTTATATTGATGATTAGATTTACTTACTGATAAAATTTCTATTTGATCCTGCGTATAAACGAATATGAAAATTTCACTTATATTTGAACTCATATCAGAGAAGTACTAGTGATTGGCACAGTTTCAAAGTACGTCACAGTGTTAGAGGGAAAATATCTAAATTCGCTCACAACTAACAAATAATAAAAACAATCACTAGAATTTCTTAAAAAAATCAACAGAGAAATATTGAAAGTATTACTCTCTTTCTTAATCACTAAAGTAATTTTAAAAAATGTGCAAGGTGCTTTCTGTTTTGGAGGTTATCACTTGTTTTTTTCTTCTGTTTGTGTGTCTACACTGAGGCAAAACGTGATGATAAAATATATAGATAAAGAGCTACTCAATAAACGCACTAATATACTTTTTTTCTTGTTGCCTTCCTAGGTAATGGTATATAGCGAAGAGCTTCTGACAGGGTTTTTCTAAACATCCCTATTATAGTGACACGTCTAAATAAATAAAAATCTATTAAAAGCCACCGAAAGCTGTTTATTAAATCTACATTCATATGATTTCTCTCTCACTGTCATTGATTCACGAGTATCGAATGTCACAAAAATCTTTAGACTAAATATGATGAAGATAAACTCAAAGAAATAATCAAAATCAAAGGAGTTTGCAAGGGTCATAGTCAGTTTTCTGCATTTTACATACTCATCTTGTCCGACAAGATCATTGAAAAAGTTTTTACCTATATAAATTAACTTTATTCCAATGCATATTCTTCTTCTTCTTCCTAATGCGTGAGTCAAGATTCAAGTCAACCAGTTGTTTTCAGTTCCTGAGTATCACATTCAGTTGACAAAAGCTTGATAAGATCGTGAAAATGTGCCGAGTGGGTGACACGACATTTGAGCCTCCTTACATTTAAACGTTGGACAGTTGAACCTCGTAACACTTGAGCCTTGGACATTTGAGCCTCTCGACATTTTGAGTCGCACAAATAACAGAATAAAGAATCTATTAGTATCATTCAACAAAAATTAACAATGAACTCAACAATTAAATAAAGCTCTATCCATTTTGAAATATCCTTCTCGTGCTTTTGAATGAAAATGCGTTAAGTGTCCACCTGCTCTTTATAGTCAGTTAAAAAGATGAGTGGTTTTGGTTGCCCAAATCACTAAGGTCCTACCAGTCTTTTAAGTTGCTCATATTCAGTTTTATGAAGCTATCCATTAGTACTCTGGAATGTTACATAGCTAGACGAAAGGATTCAGGGATCGGTTAGGGCTGGTGAAACAACCGACGCATGCAGAGTGGTGTGGGTGTAGATGGGAGTGAGCGTGTGGATGTAGGTATTCTTCGAACCAGCGCCCACACCCACACCCTCAAGTTATTGTTCCATTTCTTACTGAATCCTATTCATCAAGCAATGATCCATTTGATTCATCAGTGACAGTGTGTACTTTACGTAATTTTCCAAATTTAATTGAACATACAATTGAATGGGTACGTGATAATTTTGCTGGTCTCTTTACAATTCCTCCTCAACGAGTTGAAGAATTTTTGCGAGGACCGAAAGAATTTGTCGAACGAACAACTAAAAATCATTCAGAATATGATAAAACTGAAATAAGTGAAAATATTAAACGTATTCTTGGTGAAGAAGGACAAAAAAAAATTTCATTGATTGTATTAAATGGTCATGAAATCTTTTCGAACAACAATTTCATAATACAATCGCTCAATTACTTTATAATTTTCCATATGATGATATTACAAGTAAAGGTGATCGTTTTTGGAGTGAAAATAAACGATGTCCACATGTTTTAAAATTTGATGTTAATAATGAACTTCATTTGGATTTTATTGTAGCTGCATCAAATTTACTTGCACACATGTATTATATACCACAAATACGTAATCGTAAATTAATTGGTAAAGAAGTTGTAAAAATACATGTACCTGAATTTAAACCAAAAGTAGGTATAACAATACATGAAAATGATGAACAACTACGAGCTGATCTCAAACGAAAAAGAATACGAGTACAATACGTACAAATAGTCAAAGTGAAAACGATGTAGAAGCAGTGGCGTAGCCAGCAGGGGGCCAGGAGGGGCTCAGCCCCCCCTACGGACCTTTGAGCCCCTCCTGGCGAAATTTTGGAAAGACATATTCTTTTTATACCAAAACAGATTAGTGTTTGCAATTTTACGTTTTACTATATATATTTAATTTTGTGCAACTCATATGTCTTTGAATAAAAGAAAATACAGTAAATGTAAATACAAGTTTTAATGAGGTTTGTTAGGTTATGAGTAGTTTATTTCAGCCTTGTAGGACGCTGCACTGGTTGGTTTTCATCAGAATACAGCGATGTCGATTGTTTTGAAATCAGAATGAAAATCCATTGTATCTTAGGTAGATTGTGTTGATCATTTTAAAAAAATTTAGCTTTTTGTTAACTTACTAAATATTTTATATAAATTATTATATACAATTATATAAAAATATGATATACTAACGTAGAATAAAATATATAAATGGAAATATAAATGTATAACAACGTATATTATAACCGACGTTTCGAACGTAATACGTTCTTTTTTAGAGTTAAACAATTTTGTTCTTGAATGGGAATAAATAATGTGATTGAACTTTCTTCTTTTTATTCTTCTTCACTCTTTTCTTGTCTATTTGAATTTTTATACTGGAACGAACGAAGAGAATTAACTTGTAAAAATTTATTTTCTTCGTCCGTTCCAGTATAAAAATTCAAATAGGCAAGAAAAGAGCGAAGAAGAAGAATAAAAAAAGAAAGTTCAATCACATATTTATTTCCATTCAAGAACAAAATTTTTTAACTCTAAAAAAGAACGTATTACGTTTAAAATGTTGGTTATAATATATATTGTAATACATTTATATTTACATTAATATATTTTATTCTACATTAGTATATTATATTTTTATATAATTGTACATAATAATTTATATAAAATATTTAATAAATTAACAAAAAGCTAAATTTTTTAAAATAATTACAATGAAAAGAAAATTCTCAACCACCAAACAGTACATTACGGTGGTAAAACATGTTTCAAGCGAATAAAGAACAAAATAAACAACAACAACAACGCTAATATCAAAATATTGTACAATTGAATTAAATTGATTTCCAAAAATAAATTCATGCAACGCAAAAAACTGCCAATTTCAAACATCAAGTCATATTTTCCTGTGAAGAAACAAAGAACTGAATCACCTTCTTCAGCATCGCCTGTTCCCACCTTGTCTATTACTATTGATACATCAATATCTACTTCTTCAACACCTATCACCAATTCCTCGTTACCATCTTCATCATTTATTATCACATTATCGTCACCCACTTCATCATCAAATCAATGTTTACATTCGACAGTTGAAAAGAAAGATGAACGATGTCAATCAACGACACCAACATTACCAGCATCAATAGCATTATCAACATCAACAGTATCACCAACATCAATAGCATTACCAACATTGACAGCATTACCAACATCAATAGCATCACCAACATTAACAGCATTACCAACATCAATAGCATCACCAACATTAACAGCATTACCAACATCAATGGTATCACCAACATCAACAGCATTACCAACATCAATGGTATCACCAACATCAATAGCATCACCAACAGTAACAGCATTACCAACATCAATAGCGTCACCAACATTGACAGCATTACCAACATCAATAGCATTACTAACATCAATAGCATCACCAACATCAACAGCATTACCAACATCAATAGCATCACCAACATTGACAGCATTACCAACATCAATAGCATTACCAACATCAACAGCATTACCAACATTGACAATATTACCAACAGATACTAGTCGATCCAAGAATGAACCACCTAGTCAGCCAATTTTGTCTTCTTATAAACGAACTAATCGCAAAAGATCATTTCAATCTCAATGGTTTCAGGGTCGTCCTTGGTTGGAATATTCAGTTATTGAAGACAAAGCATATTGTTATTACTGTCGACATTTTGGATCATCACAATCAACTAGTAGAAATCAATCCAATTCTTTTTTAAATGGATTTTGCAATTGGAAAAAAGCATTAGATATGAAAGCTGGCTTCAAACAACATGAATCAAGTGAAGCTCATGTGCAAGCAGCAGTTAATTATCAACAATATTTACTACGATATAATACACAAACATCTGTCATCAACATATTAGATACCGGTAGGTCTCAACAAATAAAACGAAATCGTGATCGGATATCAAAAATTGCATCAACGGTATTATTGTGCAGCAGGCAAATGATTGCGTTAAGAGGACATTGTGAAGATGAAACGTGAGTACGAAAACACAAACAAGCTTCTTTAAGTTTCCATACTATGTTTTTTAGATCTGATAATCGTGGAAATTTGTTAGAAATTCTTTCATGGTCGTCACAAACAGATCCAATAGTACAATCCATAGTTAATAGTGCTAATAATGCCACCTATTTATCACCTCAAGTTCAAAACGAATTACTTCAAATAATGGCAAATCAAATTCGACGTAAAATAGCTGACAAAGTAAGTAACATCCATGGCAAATATTCGAGTTGCTAAAATATTAGTAGCATGATCTTCTGTGAATTTTTAGATTGCTGGCAATTTTTATTCATTAATGGCTGATGAGTCAAGAGATATCAGTGGAAATGCACAATTATCAATTGTTGTACGAGTCGTGTCAAGTCCAACAGATGCATTGTCAAATAAAAATAATATTATACAAGAATATTTTTTAGGCTTTGTTAGATTGCACCAGTTTGATGCAATGACATTATCTAGTGCTATTGTTCGATTTTTAAATTTATACCAGATTGATTTGAAAGCATGTATTGGGATGTGTTTCGACGGGTGACCTAGATTATTGACCTTTTATTTAATCGGGATATTTTTTGTTTTTAGTGCATCAGTTATGGGTGGCTGCAATGCTGGTGTTCAAACTATTCTTCGGGATAATTTTATGCCGAAAGGCATTTACATTTATTGCTTTGTGCATAAACTAAATCTGGTGATAATTGATGTATGTCAAGTTGTTAGTTATTGTACGGAATTTTATTCTATAATATCCAAAATCCATAGTTACTTTACTGCATCAGGAGTAACAAATGAATATTTCAAAAATGCTCAACAATTATTACAACTTGGTAACTGTTTTTAGTACCATTTGAAAAAAAGATTGTTTTCACTTTCTTTTTTTGCATATTAGATACAACAACAAAACTTAAAAAATGGTCGTATATAAGATGGGATAGTCGATGGACATCAATAAATGCCATCATCAATAATTATCAAGCGATACTTAAAGCATTAAATGATTTACTGGATGATGGTGATACAAGGTCTGTCGATGCAAATGGTTTGTTGATTGCTATTAAAGAACCACTGTTTATTGTAACATTATTCATAATGCATAAAATATTTGGACCTATCAAAATTTTGTCGAATCAATTACAAGGTATTCACTTAAGATAACATAAGTTTTATGAAACGAAAACAATTGTGTCATTGTTTTCTCTATTCTGTTTAGATGAATCATTAGATTTTGGAAAAGCAAAACAATTGATTTCATCTATTATTGAGCAAATGAAAAGCTATCGTGATGAGAATTTATTTCAATCATTATATTGTAAAGTTGTACAATTTTGTGAAGAAAATGGAATTGATATTAGCCAAAAACCAAGACAACGACGGCAAAAAAAAGTGCCTGCACGTTTCAATGATTCAATTGTTACATCAACAACTGGACATCGATATTATGCCGATAATGAACAACAATATTGTACTACTCTTTATTTTCCATTAATTGATAGTGTTTTAATTGAATTAAATCATCGATTTTCAAGGGAAACTATGGAAGTTTTAACCAGTATATCATCTCTATGTCCAAAGAATGAAAAATTCTTAGATTTTGAAATACTCAAACCATTTGCATTACATTTGGATATAAATCCTGATGGATTACAAAATGAATTAAATGTATTACGACCAATGTTGAAGAATAAAGAATTGTTCGATATCAAAGAATTATATTGCGAATTAATTCAATTCACACAAGCTTTTCCAAATGCCATTTTAATAGTGCAAGGTGCGATGACAATACCTGTTACATCAGCAACATGCGAAAGGTCGTTTTCGAAGATGAAAGCAATTAAGACTGCTCTCAGAAATACCATGAGCGACGAACGTTTATCTGATTTATCTGTACTTTCAGTAGAACGAGACTTCGAAATTGATTTTGACAGTGTCGTCGAAGATTTTTCTAATAATCATAAGAATAGAAGAATTATGTTGAAATAATAAATTGGAACATTCTTTGTTTTATCTTTTGTCGTTATTTCAATGAAATATAAAATTGTACATTTTTTTTGTTTCATCTATTATTGTTATTTCAATTAAATAAGGGTCGAACATTTTTGTCATTTTTTATTTGTTAGCTCATCTTATAATCTGAGGAAAGTGTCAGAATAAACAACAATCAACTCAATATGGGGTTAACAAATCAGTTTCATATACCTAAGATGGGTTAAATATTTTTGAGGGGCTGAGCCCCCCCTAGCCCAAAATCCTGGCTACGCCACTGTGTAGAAGTTGAACAAATTTTTAGTCGATTACGTAATTATGATGATATATTTGATATTAAAATTCAATCACATGAATTTGAAAAAGATGATGATACAACTTTTCATAGGGATTATATTGTAGCAACAGCAAATTTACGAGCTGAAAATTATGAAATACAAAAAGCTGATCGAAATAAAATTAAGAGAATTGCAGGAAATATTATTCCAGCTGTTGCAATAACAACAGCAATGGTTACTGGACTTGTTTGTCTTGAAGTTTATAAATTTGTTCAACATCATAAAAAAATAGAATCATATCGAAATGCATTTGTTAATTTGGCTTTACTATTTTTTGGATTTTCTGAACCAGTAGCACCAAAACATCAAAAATATTTTGACAAAGATTTTACTTTATGGGATCGATTTGAAGTAAATGGTGATATGACATTAGAAGAATTTATTGAATATTTCAAACATGAACATAAATTGATACCGAATATGATTTCAGTAGGAATGTGCGTTATTTATAGTCCACCTTTCATTCGTAAAACAAGTATAGCACAAGATATGAAACGAAAAATTTCTGAACTGGTTGAAATAGTGACAAAAACAAAGATTTCTGCTCATGTTCGTTGTCTTACATTCGATATGTTATGTGATGATCTTGAAGGAAATACTGTTAAAGATGTTCCTTATATTAAATATACATTCAGATGAACACTTATAAACAATGGATAATCTGTTATTCTTCATTAGTCCTTCTATTATGTTTTATATTTGTTTCTCATATTTGTGTGCGCGTGTTCATCTTTCCTCGTTGTGTCCTATTCTTATTCCAGAATGCTCGAAGTAAAGAATAAAGAAAAACAAAACTCTGATCAAATACATGTTACAACGACGAAAATATGCGGGTTAGTAGCAACACTAGACTTCCAGAGCAACGGTTTTTTTTAAATAATATAAAGAAAGAAAAGAAGAAATGTAACTTCCATGATGTTGTTTCGAAGAGGATGAACACATGTATTACACTACTCCTTCGCACAAGAAGAATTATCTTGCATAACTACATATGAGTCAGTCGTTTGTCGAGTTTTATGAGGTTTTTTCCAACTAACCATAAGGTGAAACGAACCCTAATGTTGAAATTGAATGAAAGTGTACCTTTTTGTTGAGGAAAATGATCGACTATTGAAAGAAGACATTTTGGTAACTGGTAAACATCGTTTTTCATATGTATGGATAGTATGTGCTATATTAGAGGGCGAGATTCTGGCGTTTATTTTCGTTTTATTTGTTATAAGTGTTGTTCTGACAAGCTTATGAGAATATGAAGTTTTTTTTCCGGCTTTGATCAGAATTATATTCATCCGACAGAAATTTATTTGAAAAGAAAAAAAGATTTTCTATACATTGATTATATTGTATCTAGATGTTAATCTCCTTGTTTCGATGATTTTGTTGGTTATTGTGCTTGTCGTGGTGCATTCTTTATTAAACAATAATGTCGTTTATTATCAAGAAATTCCCAAATCTTCTTGTCATCTATACCTTCAATTAATATTATTTTCCATGAATCAAGAAATTCTGGATTAACACGAAGATCATAAGCACGATCAATATAAAATAAAACTTCTTTTTTTATTAAACTATCAATTATACTATCAGTTCTTGCTTTCATTATTGTATCTTGTATATCAATCAGCAATAGCTATATCCCTTTCATAACTTTCATATCGTGGTTTAAAATGATTAAGAAGATGACATTTTTTTTTGGAGCTTTTAAATCAAATGCTGGCTAACATATAAACTTGTTAATGTCGCCAACTTTTTTAACAGTTTATTCATTGAGAAAACGTTCTTGTAAGTTTTCAACAGTATTTGTAAGCATTAAAAAGCTTGATTTTGAAGAGACATTTGATCAATGATAGTTATTT